GGTGGCCAATACACAGGTGGTAGGTGTACAAAGGGAAAGGGTCTATTCACTGGAAACGTTATGGGAGGTGGCCACATAACTGGAGGTGGTGGTGGGGTTGTTGCTGTCATGTAGAATACATTTGCTGGTTCGACCTGGCCAGGGCCGTAATATGTCAAGCGGTCAGGTGCGTGTCTTGATCTTCTTGCTCTTAGTTGTTCATTCTGTTCTGGTACGTCTGGTACCACCTCCGTCGCGACTGCGTTCTCGTCCTCGAATGCGTTCCTATTCTCAATCTCGACTGCGTTTTCGTCTTCGTTCTCGACTGCGTTCTCGTTCTCAACAGCGTTCTCGTTCTCGACTGCGTTCTCGTTCTCGACTGCGTTCTCGTTCTCGACTGCGTTCTCGTTCTCGACTGCGTTCTCGTTCTCGACTGCGTTCTCGTTCTCGACTGGAGGGTTAGGGCCTGTATCTCTGGGATTGACATTTACTACGACTTCGACTTCGTCATCACTCGAGAACTCGCTACTGTTTCTACTGTTTGCTCTCGTATTAACGAGTTCCGGTCGCCGTCTTTTACTTGGGCGTGGTAATGGAGCTTCACCGGTCGTTTGGTTGTCCATTGGCAAGAAATCACACGGAAGGAGAAGATTTCTATGCAATGTTCTTCTCTTCGTTCCAGTACCTTCAGGTTTAACCTCGTAAACTGGGCTTTCTGTACTCTTCCTTCGCACAACAACGTGAACGTCCTTTTCCCAGTATGATCTCAGCTTCCCAGGACCGCCCCGTTCACTCAAGTTCCGTACCAATACTCTATCGCCAGGCTGTAGCACTGAACTCCGTACCCAACGATCGTAGTGTTTCTTCGCTTTCTCACCTTTTCTTTCGCCTTTCGTCCAGCCAGCCGATATGCCTCATGCATAGCGTTCTTCCACTCTGACACGTACTGGGGATAAGTCTTACTGGTGGTTACTAGGTCGGGATCTAGTAGAAGGTCAATTGGTAGTCGGGGATGACGTCCAAAGAGGAGAAAGAATGGTGAATACCCGGTTGTGTCGTTCCGTGTACAATTGTATGCATGTACAACTTTGTTGACATGATCTTTCCAGCGTGACTTTTGATTTTCAGGAAGTGTTCTGAGCATATCCAACAACGTCCTATTGAATCTTTCCACTTGGCCGTTGCCCTGCGGGTGGTAAGGGGTGGTTCGGGAATGCTTCACACCACAAAGTTGTTCCAGCCTTCCGAGAAGTTGGTTCTCGAATTCCCCGCCCTGGTCGTGATGGAATTTGGCGGGAAACCCAAAGCGTAACACGAAATCGTTGTAAAGCTTCTCTGCAACGGTTTTTCCAGCTTTGTTTCGAGTAGCGTAAGCTTGAGCGTATCGCGTAAAGTGATCAACGATCACTAAGATGTACTCAAACCCACCTCGACTTCTCCAGATGAACAAAATCGATTGACACCAGCTCGAATGGCGACGAAGTTATAATCGGTTGTAGTGGAGCTCGTATTTTCAGCCGTGGAGGTTTTTGTTTCACGCAGCGACACACTTTCTTCACGTAATGTTCAATGTCTCGTTGCATGCGAGGCCAGTAGAATCGATCTCTGGCTAGATGTAGAACACGATCAGAACCAAGATGACCCATGTTGTTGTGGAGTTCTCTTAGTACCATTGCGTGGTACTTTCTGGGTAGAACTATTTGATCGTGTGTTCCTCTCTTCCGCCGTAACACTCCGTCAGAACCAATTGACAGTCTCTGCCATTCATGTAGAAGCGATTGTGTCTCTGTTGATTCACGGGCTCGCTCATTTGTCGTTGGACGCTTACCTGCTTTAATAAAGGAGTACACTTTACCAATAACACTATCTTCGATTTGGGCTTGTCTTATGTCGTCCGCCCCCAATGTTGATTCGTTGCTCTTTCGGGTTTTTGATGCGTCGACTTCTAGGATGCTTGGGTCGTCGATCAATGAAGATACCCAATTTATCTTTCCCTGCTCTTGGAGTTTTACTGTTTGGACTATTGTCCGTAACTCGTCTTGTGTTGTCTCCTTAGTACATACTTTCATGTAGTTCTCCATGTCTTTTGGCGTTCGAGATAATGTGTCGGCGTCAGCGTTTGCTTTCCCAGGTCGATAGCGAATTGTAAAGTTGAAGTCTGCTAGCTCTCCGACCCACCGAAGACCTGTTGCGTTCAATTTCGCGCTCGACAATACATACGTCAATGGGTTGTTATCGGTGAATACAACAAAACTTGGTGCATAATAGAGGTAATCTTTGAATTGTTCACAAATTGCCCATTTTAGCGCGAGGAACTCCAGTTTGCCGGAATGAAGATGGTAGTTTTTCTCAGCTGTCGTTAACGTGCGCGAACCGTAAGCGATGACACGTAGAATATCATTCTGTTGTTGGTATAGAACAGCGCCTAGACCGCTTTCGGATGCGTCAGTGTGCAACACGAATGGACTATTAGGTTCTGGATAAGCCATTACTGGAACGCTCACAAGACATTGAATGAGTCTCTCCAAGGCCGATTGATGGGATACCGTCCAAGTGATTTGTTGGTTTGGGGGTGGCTGATTGCGATATTTCCGCTTGAGATTAACGTCAGTTTCATCATGGTCAACCAGCTTGACGAGGTCGTATATCGGTTTGGCGATTCTTGAAAAGTTCTCAATGTACCGACGATAATAGTTTAGGAATCCCATTAGTTTGCGGACTTCGTTTACAGTCTTTGGTGGAGTTTCTTTCATGCGAAGGATTGGAGCAATCGTAGATGGATCCAACTTATATCCTTCTTCAGACACGACTCTTCCAAGGAACAAGACCTCACGTTTAAACATGGTACATTTTCTGGGTTTTAGCTTGACACCGTGTGTTTTGAGGCGTTGGAGCACTTTCCGGAGATGTTCAATGTGTTCGTCAAAGGATTTGCTGAACACGATGATATCATCCAGGTATGGCACGCATATGTCATCTCGTAGATCTCCCAAACATGTTTCCATGAAACGTTGGAAGGATGCTGGTGCATTGCATAGTCCGAATGGGATCCGAACCCATTCGTACAGCCCCCATGGCGTTATAAAGGCAGTAAGAGGTTGACTTTCGACTTTAAGGAACCCTTGATGGTAGGCTTTACCCTGATCAAGTACTGAAAACCACGAGCTTCCGCCGAGATTGTCAAGGGTTTCCTGGATCCTCGGTATTGGATGACGGTCTACTTGGCTTTTCTTGTTCAACTCACGGTAGTCGACACACAGGCGTAGGCTCTGATCCTTCTTTCTGACACAAACCACAGGCGAGCTATAAGATGAAGTCGATCTGCGAATAAAGTGTTTATTCAACAAGTCTTCGATATATGCTTTCACCTCCGGATATAGTGGTCGTGGCACGGCGACATAATTCTTCTGAACAGGTGTGGTATCGGTTAGTTTGATTTCCATTTGAAGCTCTGTGATGCACCCAACGTCATCATCATCTACAGCAAACGCACTAGCCTCTTCCATAAGCAGCTGTGTCGCAGCTTTCTTTTGTTCACCGTTTAAATCTCGCAAATCCACATCGCCCAAGTGTTTTGGCAAGTTCGTTGTTTGCTCACCCTTGTCGTTAGGGATTTTGGTTTCTTCCTTTAATTTTGGAGATGACTTTTCAACTGTGTCTGTCTTTAATTTCACCTCGACTGGGGTAACTGATTGAATAAGTTGTAGGCGTCCTAGAACCGTCCTGTTCCGTAATACTATATCATGTTTGGTGGTATTCTTCACTTCTACTTCCACACGGCTAGATTTCCCAGCCTTTGCTGTCAATAATGTGTCGGAAACTTGGAGACCAGATGGCCACTGACCGCTCTCATCGGCTTCGAACAAAACTGGTGTGGGTTTATCTAGCGGACCAGTGTTCACTCTGCAGCTCACTTTCAAACATTTTCCCTGTGGTATGACCTCATCTTTTTTGCAGGTCTTTACGAAGCATAGTTCATCGTGATTTACTCTGTTTACGAAATCAACAAGAGCCGTCGCATTACAAACATTCACGCCAACTAAAGCATTTGCCATATCGCTACCTTGTAGCTTATTGACTTTGATCAAATGCTCTATTGCATTGAAACCGATCAATGGAAGTTCCATTTCCTCACTTGCTACTAAAAATGGAACAGAAAGTACATACTCAGAATCTCCGATTTGGAGATCCAGTTCAACCCATCCTTTGTACGGTATATTACTACCATTGGCTGCAGTCAAGGTAAGATCACCATCCAGTAACTCACTAACATCTCTAACCAACATGGTAGGAAAGTTCCTTTTTATGAAGCTGGCCGAAACGATAGAGACTTGGGCCCCGGTGTCCCACAGAATTTCTGCTCTTTTCCCGTTAAGCTTCGCTTTGATTGAACATCTCCTACCTACCAGGCTAACTACCTTTCGGTGTTGTTCTGGTGTTAGATGGCTGACGAAAATACCCGAATTTGCGTCTTCCGTCGTCTGTTTCCTGTTTTGGATGTGCTGCTTGATGGCATTACATAATATTCTATGCTGTGACCAATGTTTCCGCTGGCATTTCGTACCACAGTAGTTTACAAGTTTACAACATTCACAACGCCAAAAAGTCTTTTCCAACACTTGATTGCAGCCGTTGCACTGATGGGACCCTTTCTTTTCTTCGGCTAATCCCTGTCCCACGTTCGGGGTAGCCGTCTTCCGTTTCCCTGATTCTGTCGAGGCATATTCTTTTCACACTCAGACGCGATGTGTCCCAACTCTCCGCATGCAAAACAGTGTCTGCAGGTGGCGCCAATTTTACGTTTTTTGCAGGCTTGACACCCTCGTCCACGGAACCGCGTGATCTTTGGTGGTCCCCGATCGTGATACGACTCGTTCCGATCGTCATTCGACACATAATCACCTCGAGTGGCTTGTTGTCGTTTCAGGTTTTCAACTTCCGTCCTCACTTCGCGAATTTCTGCCAGGATTTGTTGGTTGCTGTCAACAGATTTCTATGGAGGGGGATTGTGGACAAAATTATGAGACGCTGTATGCCGTACAGTGTACTATGCTGTAGTCTATTTTGTAATCGATATGATGCGATGTTATAGCCGGAAGGATGAATGTTTCAGAAAGCGGTCGGACCGAAACGTACCCAACAATGCAATATCGTATCCGGAGTTGTAACATGTCGTATCTGGAGATGTTATGTCGTATACGGAGATACAACACGTTGTGTCCAGAGATGTAATGTCATTTCCGAATATGTAATACGTTGTATCCGGAGATGCAACATCGTATCCGATGATGCAATATCATGTCCGGGTGCAACATCTTGTGTCCGGGGACCTAATGTGTTAGGTTAATGTGTAATATCGTATCCGGGGACGCAACATGTTGCTCTGGAGGTGCGATATCGTATCCGGGAGAAGCAATGTTGAAGCCATTGCATTAAAATTCATCTGTAATTTGGCGCGAAAATGATATGACAACCACGTTTTTGTATTATAAAAGCAAGATGGCGGAGAAAGATCTTGTAGAAAAGACAACTGCGATACTTAAGAATGCGATAAAAGAACTGGAAGATTCCATGAATGGAAATTCAAGATCTAATGAGCCATCGACATCTTCAGCGTCATCGATAGCTTCAACGCCGCAACTAGCTGCGCAAAACTTTAGGTATGTGCTATTTATAATAACCTTTCATTAAAATATGTAAATGAATGTACTACGTAGCATTGAATTGCTATATTATAATTATGAAATGATAAACATTTATTTAATTTACGTCATTTACTGAAAAAGTCATTATCTTGAAATAAATCTGTTTCAAAAAGCAGTTGAATAGCTAAGGTTAACTTCATATTGTATTGACCAAAATTTATGTTTATAGATAACATAATTTAAATATAGTGATAGTTTAAAGTTATAGATAACAGATTTGGTGAGAGTGCAAAGCTACATAAAAAATTATTTTGCTCGTATACTAGTACGAAATAATATTTGAAGGTATGAAAATCTCACTCCCTAAATTCAGAAATTGATATTGGCAAGAAATAAATAATGTTTTCAAAATATTTCTAACAAATGCTTAATTGACACAGTTTTGTCCTTTCAAAATAAATGCCACATGACTTCACTAATGACACTGAGGCCCTGTTAGGGCTTTACTATAGTTTAGATGGTTGCATGGGTATTTTTTTCTTTGCTAAAAACAGGATAATATGAATTTTAGGATTTAGAAATATTTATTATCATGGCCCCCTATTATTTGCTATTATTGTCCCCCTACCAGCTAATTAAAGCCTTGATAATATAGGAGATGTCTGAATCTTATGGTTGCATGAAGGGAGGGGGTCATATAAAAGAAAAGCCATGTGAAATAAACTCTCTTAAGATATGACATTTTTGCATTCCTGTACAAATTGATTCATATGCATTTGGTTTTTTGTCTTATTAATCTCTGTATTGATTGTAACTGTGTAAATTATTTCTAAAATGTCATGTTTTCTTGCAGAAGAGTATTTCCTGGGCTCTGTAGCAGAAATGTTGCAAAGACTCCTGTTCATCCTTCAGCACATCGGCCAGGATTAAGCACATATACTGCGCCAAGAATTGAACCAAAACCCAAAAGACCCAGGCTTCAGGGGTATACACCCGTAAGCTTTACTCCATTGGAAACATGGACACATGACGTGTGTATGCTTGCAAGATGTGATGAGAATACAACACCTGACAGAGAAAGAATGGAAGTCCTGATGAGAGCTGGCCTAGGGAAAATGAAGTTAGTTTTCCCGAACAAGAAAGCCACCCACTCTGAAGTTTGTAGTTTCCTTAATGAAAAATTCCCAAGGTTGAAAGATGGTGGTGGATTCGAGGTGTTAAGGGCTGTTGGTGGTGGTGGTGGATCCAGAGCTCTCCATTTAATCCCACCTGGGAAGGATGGGTATTCTTTGCCATATATAAAAGAGCGGTTCTCTCAAGCGGCAGTATATATGAGGCCATTACAAGCTGACCTAGATGAATCGCCATTGTTACATCACGTGAGTTTCATAAAGTTTCTAGCAATACATTGCACTACACTACACTGCACTCACTGAACTGCACTATATTACAATTGCGCTGTGTATCTTCTTGATAGGATACCAGAAGTGGCCACCCAACTGTAAATTGTGTTTTTTGTAACAAATCCTTGGACTTTTCTGAAATTAAGATACATAGGCAGGAATGCCAGCAAAGGTAAGATTCTTTCAATAATTTCATGTAAAATATTGGTTGCATCTTTAATTGTATGTCCCAAAATTATACATTGTGCAAGACAGCAATATATTTTACCATATATATACCCTTCAACTATTTAAACAGAAATACTGAAGGGCAGTCTTCACTTGGATGCACACCATCATCAAGTTCTGGTAAGATATTTGTAACTTGTAAGGATTGCATAAGTCTCATATATATTATATATGTAGTGTTGTTGTGTCAATCCCCTTATGCAAGTATATTTCTTACAAAGTATGTTTGCTTTTGAAATGAAATGAAATGAAAATAATTAAGTTTGGAATTTCATTTTTAAAATTTGCAAAACTTCACATTTCTTTGTTAAGAAACATAAATGGTTAATGCCCCTTATGCTAATGTTAATATTCAATTATAAAACCAACTCAGATTGTATAATCAATTTTTTACAGAACCTGGGCATTCTGTTTTAGAGCAAATAGAGTCTGATAGACAGTTTGCTGAACTACTAGCTGAAGATGATGGAGATGAATTGGAATTGATAAAGTGCTGTGGAATCTCTGACCAAACAGAAGAATTGAAATGCTCGATCTCAATAAACTTTCATTGAAGACTCGACCTGAAACAGAAAAGAACATTGAGTTTTTTGTTCAGAGAAGATGCGTTTTGAAAAATGCCTTTGAAGATGTCAAAACATGCAAGATGATAACTAGTAAAGTTTCAGTCGAGTTCGTCGGAGAGCCAGCGGTTGACACGGGGGGCCCACGAAAGAAATGTTCTCGATTGCTTTTCGCCAATCTATTGATTGCAAGCTCACCAGAGGTGCTTTCCCGTATATCACCTTTCTACATGATCAGAATGCACTAGCTAGCGGCTATTACAAAGCATTCGGGCAATTGGTAGCCCTTTCACTTTTGAATGGAGCTGGCGGCCCACATCTTTTTTCTTCATGCTTGGCAAATTTTATTCTTGGCATAGAAAAAAAGTGTATTGCGGAAGAAGTATCAAGGAGATTCCTGGTGATCAAGCTGAAATAGTTACGAAACTACAGAGCCTAAATGGATGCACAAACCCAGATGATTGGACGAAGGCCTTGTTGAATTTTGACGAACGCTTTGACATGGGGATAAACAGCGCAAAAATCTTATTCGGGGAAAAAGAGGAGCTAATACAAGCTGTTGCTAAACACATCATGATTAGCTCGGCATTGGAAGAAATTCATAGCTTTCAAGAAGGCTTGTCGACATTTGGTGTCTTAAGTGTCTTGAGAGAACACCCAGAAGAAGCATTCAAAGAGCTCACATACAGCCAGCTTTCCGTTGAAGATGTCAGAAAACCCTTCGTGCCGACATTCTCGGTCAAAGGATCGTCCAAGAGGGAAAAAGAAGAACTTGTAATCTTCAACTTCAACCAATTTCTGAAAAAGTGCAGCCAGGGAGAAGTTAGTAGAACTGTGCTGAACCTGGATGGCATACTTGGTGAACAACTTTTTGAAGAAGAGGCCACGCACATATTAACCCTGAACGATGTTTACCAGTTTGCAACTGGGTTGCGTTACCCACCTCCTGGTGGATGCAAAGGCACAGTGGAATTCATCCATGGTGCACTACCTGGAACACGTGCCAAAGGAAACACATGCGCCAATTCCTTCTGTTTTCCAATTACTTCCAGATATGCTAATGAAGATTATGGTGTCTTTATATCCAGTTTGGCTGATGATATCTTGGAAGGACCTGGATACGGTATGGTCTGATCTGCTTTCTAACCGTGACCTTTGACGTATTATTGCAAGAACAAACAGTTGATATTGTTGTTTCCTTTTAATGTTTCATTCGTACAAAAAGACAAGGGATATATTGTTTCATTCGTACAAAAAGACAAGGGGATATATTGTAAAGTTTACTGTACATGTTAGTAAGCTGTTTGAATTTTGTACTTAGTTTAAAGTATCTTTGCATTGTCTTAATGGTTCTGTTTTTTTATGGTAGGTTTTAAGTATAAGTACTTAAATATAATCATGGACTCGTCCAGTGACAAATATGCAGGCTTGATGATATAGATCAATACCATATGCTTCATCATGTGCAGTTGGATTCACTTGTACCTGCAACTCATTAAAGTCTCTCTCTGACAATGGGTTTGTTACGTCTGGTAGATCTATGGGTGAAGTTTCCTCATTTGCATTATTTAATTCCTCACAATCTATTCCATATTCACTCCAGTCCTGAAAAAAAGCCTGAGTTATCAACAAATGAATACCATATTTATTCCAATGAACACTCAACATATAATAAAAATCCTGTTTAAATGAATGCCCCCCCCCCTCCCTGCTCCAACACACACATTTATGAATAATAGTGTTAAGGTTGCTTTCGACTGTCACTCTAAAAACCAATTTACGTTTACATGTGTGTTCACTTTAATCACATTCTGCAATTATAGTACTAAGTATATTTACCTATAATATAAGCAAAAGGCATTATTACCTGCATTAATTCTTGTTGCAATTCAATCCCAGCAAGGTCAGAACTTCTAGAAAGCAGAGCAAGGCCACATATCCATAGTTGATTTGGTGTCTTATTTCCAGCTGTTCGTAAGGGATGATTATTCCATGATTCTACAAATCTCTGAAGATGTGCATTTATCCGTGGCTCAAAAATATAATGTAAACAGAACTTGTGGATGTTATTTGATAAATCTAAATAGCCATTTTCTTCTAGATATTGAAAGACAGAATAGTATATATACAGGCAAGCCACAAAGACATCTCGCCATAACCGTTCAATTCGCTGGTTATGAACGCTAGCACCCGTAATAAAACTTCCCCTGTTCGGCCCCTCAAAGGGTGATTTAACATGTACCGTGCCACTTGTACATTCTCTCCGCCATGATCAGCTCTCACCCTGGAAGGAAGTCCATGTGTAGCAACTGCATTTGAAAAATGTGTTAAAACAGTATCAGCTCGGTTGTTTCCATTGCATGATAGGTACTAATTTTTCGCGAGTAACCATCCACGCACCCATGCACCACAAAATTCCATCTTGAGAAAAACAGTACATTAGTACGAATATCATATATGATACATATACATCTATATATCATACATGCAAGCAAAAGTATGTAGTTTTACCTTATCAATTTATGATTCCCATCCATATGCCATAACGACAGGGGCCCTTACACTGTATGATCGCCTGTGTGTGACACGAATTTGAAGTGCTCTAACAATAGTTCCTTCTGGATCACACCTTCTCATTGATTCTCTGATCCGAATTTCTTGAATTTTGTAACCTCTTGACAACAAATGTCCACGCATGCTTTTATAACCAGAATTGGGGAATTCTTGCAGTATGTTTTTTACCAAAATATCTAGGTCTTCATCAGTAAGTTTTTCATATGTATTACGTACTGACATTCCATTTTCCTGAAGTCGTCTATGAATAGTCTTCTGACAAACGCAGAACAAACTCGCGATGTCACTTACTTTAAATCCGTTTTCCAATAGGTATTCCAGCTGATCAATTGGTATATCAAATTTCGGTCTACCTTTAAATCCTGTTTTTGTGACTGGTGGTAAAATTGTAGCGAAACTCTCTGCTTGCTTGTCCACCGCGGCCGTTAACATATGTTGGGCTTCAAGTAGGGATGGTAGCAAACAATTTTCCATCGGTCCACCCAATCGCAATAGCAACACAATAAGCCATTCAACTTTATAATGAGCGTATTCAGCTTTGTTATCACAGTCTTGACTTTCCAATTTTCTTATGATGTTGTTCAGTATTTCCTTAATATTGATGTAAACTAACTCATTTGGCGTGCGGTGTTGTCCTTCCATTTTTTTCACCTCAAATTCCTTTTTATCGCTTTCTTTTTTCACTCATTTTTTCGGTTGTCTTGTCTACAAGATCTTTCTCCGCCATCTTGCTTTTATAATACAAAAGGTGGTTGTCATGTGATCAGTATTTTCGCGCCAAATTACAGATGAATTTTAATGCAATGGCTTCAACATTGCTTCTCCCGGATACGATATCGCACCTCCAGAGCAACATGTTGCGTCCCCGGATACGATATTACACATTAACCTAACACATTAGGTCCCCGGACACAAGATGTTGCACCCGGACATGATATTGCATCATCGGATACGATGTTGCATCTCCGGATACAACGTATTACATATTCGGAAATGACATTACATCTCTGGACACAACGTGTTGTATCTCCGTATACGACATAACATCTCCAGATACGACATGTTACAACTCCGGATACGATATTGCATTGTTGGGTACGTTTCGGTCCGACCGCTTTCTGAAACATTCATCCTTCCGGCTATGACATCGCATCATATCGATTACAAAATAGACTACAGCATAGTACACTGTACGGCATACAGCGTCTCACAATTTTGTCCACAATCCCCCTCCATAGATTTCTTCGACTCGTCAATTTCGCACGAGTTAATGTTGGCCAGCCTTCTTTCAGATGCGAGCTTGTTTTGTCTTTCCGCTTGATGGGACGCCAACTCGTTGACGTGTCTCATTAAATCTTCGTCTGTCAATGGCGTTGATCGAAGAATGGGCCGCAAATTCGCCGCGAGAATATCGTCTCGAAGACCGGTCTCAAACGATTTCATGAACGTCTTTTCGATTAGAGGTTCATCGTAGTGGACTTCGCAGTCTGATTCTTTGCTTGCGAAACCTACTTTGTTACGCAAGTCGAGCGCGCGAAGGAGAAATTGCTGTGCTGTCTCTTTCGGGTGTTGAAAGATCGTAGCCAGCTGTTGGTACAGTTCCGATGCAGATTTCTCTCGATAATGCACGCGAAGGATCTTTCTTAGCTTGGGGAGGGACAAATCATTCAATGTTTCTACGTAACTACGTAGGCTGCTGTGCAAGGAAATAGCGCGAATTACAGCGCCGACAATTTCGCATTCCTTATACTTGCGCTTTAATCCGGAATCGATTTGATGAGTGAGTGACACAAATGTTAATTTGTCCGTTTGACCTGGCTCGCCAATTTGTCCTGAAATCTTAAATTCGCGACGCAAAATTGACTCGCTGGCAGAAAGTTTTGTTTCTCTAGGGCTTTCTGGTTTATCTGCGTTATCTTTCGATTTTGTCTCTAGTTTAGACAACATGTTGTCCATTTCCGCTTGTTGTTTTTGTTTTAGCTCATCAATTTGTTTCTTTAATTCGCTTAGCGCATCGTCGGGTTTATTTTTCTGCGATTCAGGTTTCAAAGACTTAATAGCGTTTTGAACCCACTCGATTTTCTGTGCCAATTCTCCCTCTGCATTTAGACTTTGCTCAATCGCTTTTTGAATAAGCTTCGTTGCGGCTATTTTGCTTTTACCCTCGAGTCCAACGTCTAATTTAATCCAACCCGCGAATTCTTTTAATTCACCCTGGTTTTTAGTGTATAATAGGGACTCTAGCTCAAACTGTAACTCTTCGAGCTCTTCCGTAGTCATGTTGTTTAATACTTAAAATGTCTACGTTTTACCGTTTTAACAATTAACGCGAGATTTCGCAAATTCAATCATACAGACTATAGTATATTAATACTAGCATTAAATTGATCCAAACACTGTTCGATTGTCTAATAGCA